TCGTTATGACCACTTTGGAGGCGATCTAACAGCATCTAGCAAAGCTGTGCCCACCCTGTGGGCAGGGATCATCTGGGGATTGTTCACTGCTGTAGCAAAAAAAAAAAAAAAAAAAAGTTGCTTTTGTGGAGTTAGAAAGTAAATGTAAATACTCACCTTTGTTGGTCCAGCAGCTCACGGAAGCCTAGTGCCCTCTAGGTGTCCAAGTACCATTGTTGCAGATAAGAAGCTGTTCACCTGACTGCTGATACCTAAATTGCTTTACTGAAACAGCTGAACCTGACCTCAAGACCAGGGCTTTAACCCGTCTGGAAGGAAATATGACTCTGGGGTAGGTGTTGTTACTTCTAGCAACTGCATTCCACGTAAATCCCTATTCTCAATTAATGTTTCCAGAACTTTCACCGCTATACACATTGACATCATGAAAGTTCTTTAATATCCATTCTCACAAACACAGTGCTACAGAGTGTTGGGGCTGAGAATGGTTAAACCTGAACTCCACCACTTAGTGGCCACGTGACCTTGGGCAAGTTACTTCTCTGAACCTCTGCTTATCTGTAAAGAATTCAGGTTTGCCCTTCCTTGCTCAGAGCGCTATTGAGGACCAACCAACGTGTAAAAATGCTTTATAAATGCTAAAAGGCCATCCACGTGTTAGGTTGGCAATTCCTAGTTCTCCCTCATCCATTCAATGGAGCCAACATGGACTTATTTTCTTGTCCCATAAAAACCTTGGACCAGGACAAGAGAACCTGGCACAACTAAGGTTGCCTTCGGGTGAATTGAGTGAGGCTGCTGAGACAGGAGGTACCAGGTTTTCCCTGGAAGAGAAGGAATCCAATGTTTCCTTTCTAAGCTACTTGGGAAGCATCCATGAACTCCCCAACACAAGTGTACCTCGTTGTTTCATTGTGCTTCCCAGCTATTACATTTTTATAAGTCGAAAGCTAGACCCTCTACCTCCATCAACAGTTATGACTAGCTTTACCACAGAGGTCTGGATCCAAACCCACAATATCTCCGAGGTGTGCCTGTAGTCGAGACCATACTTCATTTTTCTTTTCCCCGTTCCCTGCCCCCCATATGAATAGAGTTGATTGGCAGAAAAAATGATCTGGGCCACACGTATTGTTCATCAGAAGAGACTATGCTGAGCCCTTTGCCTAAGAAAACTCCCAAGAACCTCCTTGTCCTTTTAATACCCAGAAACCTCTATAAAAGAAAAAGCTCAGTCTGCGTAACTGAAGCACAACGAAAAGACCAGATAGATTTTCACTGAATTTGGAAGGCACGCACATTAGGGACAGTTTGCCTTAAAATACAAACTGTATGCGCAGATGGAATTAGCCTTGGGAAGCCCTGGGAGATGTGTCAGGAGTTAGGGCAGTGTCTTCAAAGCAGCTGAAAGTGAGACAAAGTGAGCCCTGTGTAGCTTGCCCATGGGGAGAAACATGCCCTACATTATCAAGAGGCCATGAGCAGAGATAACAAACTGGTTTCAAATTCAAGTCCTAAATCAAAGACTTCAGTGCATTTCAGGAGAGAGAGTCCTTCTTATCCCTGGGGTGGAGACCTCCAGCTAAGGTAGAAGACATCAGTTAGTTCGTTCTTTATTTTCATTGGAAAGTTACAGGGTTACTTATCAACAAAATGACTGTCCAGATATCCAGTGGTTCCTATGGAGAGGCCTGTCCCAGGGTCCCTACCTCCGGAAGGACCTTACTCCCAACGCCTCAGCTTGCTCCTGCCCAGGCCTCCAGGAACCAATAACAAAGGAGCAGTGAACAAAAACCTGACCTCAGCACCTACTTTCACCCTAAAGGTGGCAGCTGCTGGTGTGGGACCCAGGCCTAGTCTTGGGGTAGTGGGTATGGGGGTTTCTCTCCTGGGAGCCCACCCTTCCCGCACCCGCCTCCTGGGTAGGCTCTTTTGGACATTTCTGGGATTACTCTGACGGGCTCGTGGATTCCCACTCTTGGCATTCTTTTCTTTCAAGTTGTCTTCTTAACACTGAGGCATTCCAGCCTCCCATCCTGAAAACAAGCATTTGCTCTGTCCCTTTTCTTTTGTCCCTGTTTTTGTACGAAAATGACAATACTCTTGATCGGACCATTTTTTTGCCCTAGAAACCAAAGTGGCTCAACAGGTACAGTTCTGCTGGTCGATCTGTTTCTGGCAGGGTTCCATGGTGACAGCGACGCCCACCCCACTCCGGCCAGATGTCATGCGGGTCACCTCACTCCAGGTGTCCGTATCTGGGTCGTAACACTCCACGCTGTCCAGGAATGTGTGACCGTCATAGCCTCCTGCGGGAAGAAAGCAGAGGGGACTGGCAGGGATGGTCACTGCCTCCTAGGGTGGGTCGGGGCGGGGGGCGTAGAAAGAGAAGAAACCAGGAGAAGCTTTCCTACTGTGATTTGAGCCTGTCCCCAAAAGATGCGGCTAACTAGTCTTCTCCGCCCGGATCCCCACCCCCAGGGTCTCACCGAGGACATAGATTCTCCCCTGGTGCACGGTGATCCCCAGGGCGCTTCGTCGATGCTTCATGGGAGCTGCAAACGTCCAGGTTTCCGTCTCGACGTCATAGCGCTCCACGCTGTTTAGCTGGTCCTGACCGTCGTAGCCCCCCGCAGCATAGATGCAATTGTGCAGGACACAGACTCCTAAACCACACCATGAGGAGAGGGTGACTCTGGGGACTGGCCTCGGGGGCCCCTCCCCGCTCTCTCCTGAGGGACGCTTCAGAAACAAAGCTGGGAGAGAGGAGCATGGAATCTGTCAGAACCTAGCACTCCTGTGCGTGCGCCACAGGGTTGTTCAAGGTGGAAACAGGAGGCCTCACCCAGGCCTAGCCGAGTTCTACCCCTGGGGCTAGGCGGGTGTTCCTCCCTGTCCCTTACCCGCAGCCCCCGCCTACCTGCCCCACTTCGGATGGTGTTCATGGGTGTGATCATTCGCCACTCGTCTCTCTCTGGGTAGTAGCACTCAGCTGAGTTGAGGCGGTTCGTCCCGTCAAAGCCCCCGACGGCATAGAGCAGACGGTTGAGGACAGCCACTCCCACCCCAATCCTTCTCGTCAGCATTGGGGCCACCAAGTGCCACTCGTCCCGCTCTGGCTCATACCTGCAAGGGCATAATAACAATGACAACAACAATCAAAGCTGACCTTCAAGAAACACTACCTGTGGCCCAATATTCTGCTGGCTCTTTATGTACTTAAACTCTTTAATCCTCACAATTGTTCTCCAACATGCAAGTTATCAGGAGCTGCATTTTCCAGATGAAGAAACCAAGGTTCACAGCTGTCATGTGCTCAAGATCAACACATATCTGTTGGACCCCGGTGGCTCCAACATATCACTGCCAAACCCTGTGCTGAGTGTTCTGTGTGTTATCTCACCGATGCCCCACCCAGCCTAGTGGGGCAAGCAGTCCTTATTATTGTCCATCCCTCTTCACAGATGACAAGATGGAGTCGCAGAGGGGTGAAGTGGCGTGTCCTGGGTCACCGAAGAAGCAGTAGAGCTGCAGTCTGACCCAGCCCTCTCGGACACCAGAACCCCAATTCTAACACTCATCCTACCTCCCAGGATGGTTTTCGCAAAGTGTGATGCGCAAAGATGGGCTTGAGCACTTCCAGTTCACGCCTGTGCTCTTGGAGTAATTAATGGTGTCCCTTTTATTTTCTTGAAAGTGGCTTACTGAGGGTGATGGATCATCTCATCATCCTATTCACAGGTCACACTCATTAGAAACCTCTGGAGTATTTGTTTAAAATCCCCATTCCCCAGCCTTGCTCCAAACCCAACCTCCGATGGCAGATCTCGGCATCTCCAGCAGTGGGCTGGGGCGTTTGTTTTGACAAGTTCTGCAAGTGAGAACTGTAGCTTGAATCACACTTCTGAAAGGAGGCAGAAGACAAGGCCCTAAACACAGGGTCACTATGTCCAGTTGTGCAGGTTGTGCACTGCACGAAGGCACCACATCTAAGGGGGCACCTTCTACATACCAGATCTCGTACATCCGTTTATAACAATTCCTGGGCAGATGGCAATGAGGGGTCACGTTCTAACAAAATCAGCACATTACAACAATTTCAAACTGATGGGGCTTTTTCCAAATCTCTACAAAGGAGCTGTATGGTTGTATGATGGCCCTGTAAGCAGCTCCCAGGCCCAGACACACCATCCAAGGTCACCACCATAAATCTCCCAGGAGTTTAGGTTCACTTTGAGGCGCAGAGATAGGCATTCAACAGGGAGAATCCCCAAGTGCCAGGGACCTGTCAGCAGCGGGACACTTGGAGCCCACCCCTCCTGGCCCTGCCACTCACCTCTCCACACTGTTGTGGTGGATACAGCCGTGGGAGCCACCGACAGCATAGATGTGCCCATCAATGACCCCAACCCCAATTCGGTTGCGTGGCACGCTCATGGGGGCGCACGGCGACCACTGGTTGGTCATGGGGTTGTAGCAGTCCAGGGCACTGGAGTCGGTGTTGCCGTCAGGTGAGTTGTTCCGGCCACCCACGGCGTACAGCAGCCCGCCGACCACGCAGCCTGCCAGGCCACTACGAGGCACCTGCAGGTCTGCCAGCCGGAGCCACGTGCCATCACTGGGGTTGTAGGCCTCCAGGTAGCTGAGTGACTGGCGGAAGTAGCCACCGGCGGTATATATAAGCCGGCCCACCTTGGGCGCCCGGCAAGGCATCACCTGTGTGGGCTTGTGCAGGGTAAGCTCCTGGAAGATCTTGACCAGGTAGTCCTTGCAGCGGGAGTCTGACTGCAGGATCTCGCACTTCTGCAGCTGCATCTGCAGGAAGTGGGGCGTGAGCGAGTGGCAGCGCACGGCCCGCAGCAGCGCCTGCACGTAGAAGCGTCGCTGCTCGCAGTCGTACTTGACCCAGTTGATACAGGCATGGAAGACCTCGGACTCGCAGCGCACATTCAGATCATCCCGGCTGATGAGAGTCACCAGCTGGCAGTGGGACAGGTTGAAGAACTCCTCTTGCTTGGCTACCTGAAGAGGGCATTAGTGTGACAGGCTGACTCCTGTGTCTCCCTCAGCTGGTTGTATGACCTTGGACAAGTCATTCAACCTGCCTCTGACAATTTCAGTTTCCTCATGTGCAAAATGGGAATTTTGCAGGTTGTGAGGATTAAATGAGTTAATACTATGTGCCAGGCATGTAGTAGATAAGTACTCGGGCAAATGGGCAAAGACACAATGTACCGCATATCTTTTTGTATAATTTTCTATTCGAACTATAAGAATGTTACCTTTTTAAAAAAAAATTGAAATTACTTTTTCAAAAGGGCAGATTGACTAAAAAGGAAAAAGGAATAACAATAGAGTATTCTAGCAAAAAAGTACAGACTCTGAAGAAAGCAGCCTGAGTTGTAATTTTGGCCCATAACTTATTTATTTATTTATAATAATTATTTTTTTTAGTGCACCTAGTATTCCTTGGTGGTCTCCCATTCAAGTACTAACCAGGCCCAACCCTGCTTAGCTTCCGAGATCAGACGAGATTGGGCGCGTTCAGGGTGGCATGGCCATAGTTGGCCCACTACTTTTTAACCAGATGACTTTGGGCAAATACCTGAAACACTCAGTGCCTTTGTTTTCTTCCTCTGTAAAAGGAGATTATATTAGTAGCTACCTCATAGCAGGACTACTCCTAGGGCATACAGTGCCCAGGCAAATCTTTCTTGTCACTATAAATAATTTTGGTCATCCCACATCAGTTCACTACCGTTCTAGTGTCCCAAGTCCACACAATCCCTTGAAACAAACATCGTACAGGCCAGTGGGAGAACTCTGCTTGAGGACCCCCTTCTTGGAAGCCATCAGCCCTAGACCTAATGCCAGAGCCCCTCGGTCAACCTCACATGGGGTATAGAAGGAAGGAGGGAAATGGAGACCAGAGCAGTGTCCACCCCAGCTGGCCCCTGAAGGAGGGCTTTGAATATTTCCAGGAAGGCCATCCAAAGCATACTTCTTCCTGAGGTAGTTGGGAAGATTTAAAGGATGGAAATCACTTAGAACAGGGGCTGGCCCACAGCAAGGGCTCGACAAGCACTATTATTTCTTATGTTCATAACTTCCTCTACTTAAAAATGAAAATGAAACCAAGAACATAAGAAGGACAGAGTGGACCAAAGAAAGCACGTCTAAGGGTCACATCAACAGTCGGCAGCATGTCATGAGTGTTCAATAAATATTTTGACTGCCTGAAATGTTGGGCCCTGCTCTGCACACCCTAGGATTGAGATGCTGTCATGTTTGCTATACCCTGTCCCCACCTTGGACCCCAGAGAAACCAGGGAGCCCAGATACCTGTGAAAGCCTCACTTGCCTCAGCTGTTTTCCAGAGTCGCCCCAGATGTGTAAACTAGAAGCTCAGAGACCCACTTTCCTCCAGCTCCTTGCCTTGACCCTTCAAATCTCAAGGGGAGACAGTGATGACCGCCCATGCATCCCTGCTGATACTGTCCCCAAACCCCGCTCCATGCCCCCTCCCCGCACTCACCTCCCCAAAGTGCATGTAGATGTACTCGCGGGCGCGTTGGTGCAGCTCAGCACAGCCAATCTGTTCAGCGAAGTTGGCGATGCCGATGGCGTTGCTTGGGTCCAGCTGCTGCACCAGGAAGTCACTACAGGCACGGACGACGCTGTCGATCTGGTACATGACAGCACCATTCATGACATGGAGCACACACTTCTCGCCCATGGAAATAGAGGCTGTGTAGGCAAACTCGATGAGACGTTCCATGACCTTGGGATGGATGCCCTCGATGGACACCACCTCCATGCCCTGCTCCCGCAGCCCGTTAGTGAACATGGCCTTGAAGACAGGGCTAGACGAGGCCAGCACCACCTTGTGGGCCATGAACTGGGCAGCAGGTGCGTCCTGGTACTTGACCTGCAGCGTGACATCACACAGCTGCTGGCTGAGCCGCAGCTCATTCATGATACCAAAGGCCTGCTTGGTGTGGTCCTCCAGTGTGTAGCTGAAGGTGCGGTTGCCATGCTGGGAGGGTGTCACCTCAGCCTTGCACTCGGTGGAGGCGTACATCACCGTGTCCCCTGCCCCCTTGGGGCGCTGTGACCTCAGGGGTAGGAATCGGGTGCGGGCCCCAGCCCCACTAGGCCCAGGTTCCGGCTGCATGGGGTTCCAGGTGACAAGGGACAGCACCACCACTGGCACTCAGGGCCCTGGAGGAGGGAGAGCACAGGGCTGGGGGTAGGGCCTGGGGCCAGGACTCCTTTTTTAAGATAAAGCGACTCTTCGACCAGTTTTCCTTGCCAAGCCCAGGTGAAGCAGTGGCCATTTGTGGCTAAATGTCCTAGGGCCTCACCAGCTCAGGGTTAAAATATGTCAGATGATGTCCCTCCTCTGCTTGGAAGTCCCCCACAACTCCCTACAGCACGAAGAGTAAAACAACTCTTTAATGCCCGTCGCTGTCAGCCCCATCCACCTCTTCTCTTTGCTCACTCTGTTCCAGCTGTCTGGTGGCCCTTCCCTTCCTAGAGCATGTCAAGTGCACTCCTTCATTCACCTCACCAACCTTTACTGAGCTTCTACTGTGTGCCATGCTCTGTTCTAGGCACCAGGGACACAGGAACGAGCAAGACAGACAAACTGTGCTGGAGTTGACACCTAGGGGAAGGAATGGCCATAAATAAAATAATCAAGATGAGTAGAAACTGGAGTCATGAAGAAAATGACAAACAGCATTATGACAGTGTGAGTCAGGCGCAGTTACTGTAAGCCAGTCCTCTGCTGGAGCTGAGACAAGAAAGATGAATATATGAAAGTAGGTAGGGGTGGGAGTTGGTTTTCCAGGTAGAGGGAACAGTAAGTGCAAAGGCTCAGAGGCAGAATGGAAGAGACAATCTAGAGTAGCGGTCCCCAACCTTTTTGGCACCAGACATCAGTGCTCCTATGAGAATCTAATGCCTGATGATCTGAGGTGGAGCTGAGGCGGTGGTACTGGCGCTGGGAAGCGGCTGCAAATACTGACAAAGCTTCGCTCACTGGCCGTTCACCTCCTGTTCAGCAACCCAGGGGTTGGGGACGCCTGATCTAGAGAATCAGGGAGGAATGTAATGACAAATAATGACTACTGAAGGGAGGGTTCCCATGAAATCTGTGGAGTCTGGAGGGCCAGTGCATGAGTTGTGTTTTGAAAAGTCCTGTGGGGAGAAGGGGAGGGGATGGTCTGCAAGAGCATTCCCAGGTTCTCCATCTTATCTTTCTGGGGCTCAGCTCAGAGTCACCTCCCAGTTTTATTTCCATCACAGCTCTTGTCAGGAACAGAAATGAGCTACACTGCTTGCTTGTTGAGAGGTGACGCATCCCTCTGCCCCTAAGCCACAGTGCTGCAGAGGGCAGGGAGCCCGCCCTCTCACGTGTCTCCCTCACGTCTAGCCTGAGGCCTGGCACTGTGCAGGGGTCAGTAAACGTATGGTTGGCTGACTGCCCACTCTACTGTGCCTACCAGAGCACCCTCCTCCACCCCGCCCAGGGCGCTGTTTGGCCATCTCTCCCCAGCCAATGCCCCGGGCTTGCCTCTTGGTCTTTGGCCAATCGATCAACGGTGCCCCCTGGACACCCGGCACTTCGCCTCACAAAGCGCTAGGTGGGGGACTGCGCATGCCCCGCCTGAGCCTCCACCAAGGCCTGGGGAAGGGAGGAAGTGACCACCGCGGCCTCTCTGCTGCCAACCCCAGGGCGCAGATCAAACCCCCAACGCCCCGGGTTCCCCGGGCCCCCGTCCGAGCAGCGCTCTCTGGGCCGCTCGTCCGGCTTTCGTCGTTTCCGGATCACCCCGCAAGTCGCGCCGTCCAACAAAAGAACAGGACTCCAGCGGCGCCCTCCTGGCCCTCCGGGGAGCCGCGGGACCCCGAGGCG